TATATCCTTTATATGGCATTAAAAAACCTGCAGGCCTTCAGGTTCAGGTAACACCCACGCAAGTAGTGTCTCCTAAGTCGGCCCCAGCCTATGCTGGCCCAATCGATTGTATTAAAAAAATTTATTCATCCCATGGTATTAAAGGGATTTACAAAGGACAGGTGGTTACAATGGCACGTGAATTCCAAGGATATGGCGCTTACTTCCTCGTATACGAATTTTTGATGCAACGTTCCATGGTCAAGGAAAATAAAAAAAGGCACGAAATAGAGAGTTGGAAATCTTGCATGTATGGCGCAGTAGCAGGTGATTTTCTTTCCTTTTTTCCTCGAGGAATCTAGTCGTCTACTGACAGGAATTCTCTTACACAGGATATGGAATGTGGTCATCAGTATATCCAATTGATGTTGTCAAGAGCAAATTACAGACCGACGGTTTTACACGACAGACGCGTCAATATGATGGTGCTTTAGACTGCGCGAAAAAGACTTTTTCGAAAGAAGGAGTCAAAGGCTTCTTTCGTGGTTTCGGTGCATGCATGCTGCGTGCAGGCCCAGTGAATGCAGCCACCTTCGTAGCTTTCGAAATAGCCATGAGGTTTTTCGATAAGTTATGAGATCACCATCCCATTCGGATGCGTTTTTTTCTTTTCTTTTGAAGTTTATTGCTATATTAAGTTTGGTGATGGCTTCTATAACCTTAAGATCTATTACATTTTTTGTTCGAACCGGCTTCTTGATCATTATTAGGATTCCTTCGTTTTGATGATGTATTCTTTGCCCACATGAAAAAATCACATCTATCATCACGGGAATTTCCAATCGGTCTTAATAATAAGACGAAGTAATAATAATTAATTAATAAAATAATAATAATAATAATCAATAATAAAAATGATAAAATATTAATGATAATGATAATATAAACCCCTTTATGGAATGTGAAAGGGTCATCGGTAAGGACATACCTTGAACACATGTAGAACAGCCTCCCTTGATTTGGTCCAACTTTATTAACTTGATACTCCTTACATGTTTCACCGTGAATTTTACACTTGGGTACGGAACGCGGCGTGAAAATAGCATTCCATTGTGATAATGCTCTTGAATTGTTGGAATTAACACATGTTTCCGCACAACCATCCATTATTTCCTCGATGTTTTGTTTAAACTCCACATTCGGCGATTGTGATACCAAACGATGATCCGATGATCCGGAAACTTCCGTGACGTCTTCTTCCCTCAAACACGTGGTTCCCGATTTAGAAATCTCATTCGGAAGAGGTTGCTTAAAAAAGGATGCGAGAGATAACTGATTCTTATCTATTTCCACCTTTTGTCTTGTTCTACGGTCACCATTTTTAATAATCCTGGGGATCACGGATTTTCCGGTGGCTTTCTGCGATACGGGATCAGATGGTTTCCGGGAAGTGATGGTCTTTGTCGTTTGTTTCTCAACAATCGAATCATCCAACTTCTCCATTTGGTTTGAATTTTGCCTGACAAAAAAGCTATTCAATGTTTTCTGATTGCTCGAGAACTTTGGTAAATATTTAGCGCAAAGTCGTAGCGTTCCTGTGGATTCACCGTCGGCACCAATAAACAAGAGGTCTTTAAGAGTGAGCGTACGTCCGTTTTCGCTTATTGATTCATGTAACTCTCCAACGACAGGGCAATGATCCGATCCCATGATGCTCTGTTCCGCATTGCAAGATTTGAACCATCTCATCAACCCCTGGCTAGCAAGTATGTAATCTAAACGCGTACCTGAATATAAAGATATCATTTATATCGATGACTGCACCTCGAATGGGCACGCATTTGTACATAATCATAATTACCATAATTCGATGGCCTTGTAAGGAAAGAGAATAGCAGGATAGGTGTCAGTGGAATCCTCTGAGCATCATAGTAGACATTAACAAATCCGAATACACATCTCACCTCGCATTGATTACAGAACACCAACCTAGATGTAAAAAAAAAAAAAATGCATGCGAATTAAGACCGAGTATTATTTTCTTTGAAACCATTTTTCCACCTACATGTATATATTCCCCTTTCGCCCGGATGAAATCGTCGGCACACATCAACAAGAGGACCATTTGGTGCTACCAATCCATCGAACCATTTTCTGGACGGGTGGTCGTCGAAGGACTCTAATCCATTGTCTTTGATGGACTGTTGCGGATTACAATGATCAATCTCTTTATGCGACACATTTATGTCTCCCATTATTATCACCTCTTTACCGGCCCGAAGAATGGCCTCCACACGATCCTGAAGCACTTTGCGAAATTGCGTTATAAAGGGGCGGCGCTCCGGACCGGAATCGCGAGGACAATAAATATTGAACAATACAAACATCCTAAATTCCAATATAACGCAACGACCCTCTGAATCGATATTGAGTAATTCCCGTGGAGTACAACCAAATGCATCAGAAGCTGAAACATCATTCAAAATCCCAGAAATCCCTTCCTCGGCAGATATTGGTCTAACAGAATCATTCTTGACATATGTCACAACACCCGAGTACGCAGCTTTACCCTTCGAAAAAGAGAAATATGCGTCGTATCCTGGTATAATCGCCATTGACGACTCTAATCTGTCCAGTGTAATTTTTGTTTCCTGGAGGCATATTATGTCGGCATCAAGTGTATCCAAAATAGTCTGCATATTTCCAGAGGTTAGAATTTCGGAGCTTTACTATCAAACATTTTGACATCGAACTCCTTCACCTTATAGTTCTTGTGTTCATTCCATCTGAACAGAGACATGAATAACACGTCAAAATAAAACTTTGGACCTTTTTTTGCAATTAAAATAAATCACTTACGGATGATATTGAACGAGAGACCTTAAACCGTTTACATTCCACGTGAGCAATCGCATGAGTGAGTGAGTTCAAATAAATTCAAAGTTAACAATCTTCATACAAAACTTTCGTGTCGCCGACTTTCGCGTCGAATTTTTCTAAATGATATGAAGTTAGGTTTACTATACTCGGGGGGGTTTTTTTTTTAAAGTTTGTGAAT